TGGTACCTCCCCCTCTAGATCATTGAAAGAAAGGTTCAAATATTGCAAGAGAGGGAGCTTTTGGAGGTCTCTCGGTAACTGTCCAGTCAACTTGTTGTTTGAGATATCCAAATACGTAATGCTTTTTAAGGAAACCAAAGAAGGTGGGACTTTACCTTCAAAGAGATTATCATGCATATCAAGATATTCAAGGCTCAAACAATCTCCAATTGTATCTGGAATTTTTCCCGACAATTTGTTTCCAGAGATGTCTAAGGCATTTAGTGTTTTCAATTTGCCCACGGCAGGAGATAACGGACCAGTGAATGAATTATGGGAAAGGTAAAGGTACTTTGACAAAGATGGCAAATTAAAAACTTGTTGAGGAATGGTGCCATCTAGTTTGTTATTGTTCATGTACAATTCATTCAAACTCCTGAAGTTTTCCACATTTGAGGGTATATTGCCATCAAAATTGTTGTTATTCAAAACAATTGAAGCTAGAGAAGTAAGGTTAAAAAGAGTGAGTGGCATTTTTCCAGATAATTCGTTTCGCTCAAGACTCAATGCTTGTAGTTTATGCAATTCACCTATCTCACTAGGAATAACACCAGATAATAGGTTGCTTTCTATACTGAAACCGATCAAGCTAACTAGGTTTTTTATTGCTCCGGGTATTGTACCAAATATCTTATTGTCTCCTAGATATAGGAAATTGAGTTTGGATGAGAGGTTAGCTATGGTGTTGGGCAATGTACCTTCAAATCTATTTTCATCAATGGCAAATATATTTAAATTACTGCAATTGGACAGAGATGTTATAAAAGCCAAGTCATTGAGGGGATCATTGCTACCAAGAAGATTGTGCCAAAGGTGCAAAACTAAAAGATCTTTCAACCTTCCAATATTATCTGGGACTTTACCTACAAGATGGTTTTGTGATACCTCAAGAATTTGAAGCTTAGAGGCGTTGGGGAATGAAATAGGAATAGTTCCATGGAAGTTGTTTTCACCAAAATAAAATCTTTTCAAGTTTGGCATGGTGTCTCCTATGTAACTTGGAATGGTCCCTTCAAGTGAGTTTGCGGATAGTGAAAAAATTTGTATAGAAGTCATATTGAAGAAAGAAGGAGATAGTGTACCAGTGAAATTGTTGGCACCAAGTGAAAGGATATTTAAACCCCAACACCGCGTAATGTCATGCGGAATACGTCCCTCCAAATGATTCATCTCCAAGCTCAACTTTCGAAGTGATGACAAATTCCCAAAAGTGGTGGGAGGAATTCCACCTGTCAATTTGTTTCTACCCAGAGATAGTTGTTGTATCTTCTTCAAATTAGCTAGGAATGCAGTAGGGATCTTCCCTTGGAGGGCATTGTTAGAAAGTTCAAGTTCCCTAAGCTGTAAGCAGTTGCTAAAATTAAGGGCAACCAGTTCTCCCGTCAGTGCATTCGAAGCCAGGTAGAGAGATCTTAGTCGAAACAAACCACCAATCTCTCCTGGAATTTCACCATAGAAATTATTGCCATTGAGATGAAGAACCCTGAGGAAAGTGAGATTTCCAATATGAGGAGATATGGTTCCCACCAACCCCATCTCAGGAAGCTCCAAACCCACAACTCGTCGGTGTTTGCGGCCACAACTAACTCCTTGCCAATAACAATGGTGCAAAGAGTCATTCCAGGAGTTAAGAATAACTCCATGCGGATCATCAGAAATAATCCGGTGTTTAAACTCTAAAAGAGCAATTCTATCGGTTTCATTTGAGTAGAGAGTAGGTGATGATGATACAAAGGAGGAAGTGGGAATAAGGGAAACACTGCATATTAAGCAAAACAGAAAATAAAAGAGTGAGGAGAGGGTTTTCTCATGGCTCATCTTCTTAATCACCTCCATCTCTGAACTAGAATTCAAAAAGATAGATGGGATTTAGATAAACAAGAGAGTGAATGATGTGTTTCTCTCACAGGGTATTATATATTGCTTATATAGATGTGCTAAATCAAGAATCTGGTGCATGCATGCATGCATATGATAATCAAAATGGACTCCGTCACCCAAGAAATTTATGATATGCGTGTAACCAGATGCAAATTAAATACACCTCATACCATGCTCCATACGCCAATTTAGAATTTTGTGATACTAAAGTGTTTGACAAATTGATTCTAGATAGTCTGCTAGACTTGGAAATTAAACTCAGGCAATTCAATAATTTTGTGCACGTTAATTGTTCTGTAAGTCATTACCAAACTGGCTCCCACTTTCACGTGATGACGTGAATACACTGCTGAAAATTGTGAAATTTCCGCCCACCTCAAAATAATATTAAATTAAGTCGAAAGTAAAAAGTGGTCGAAAATAACAACAAAGGTTTTCTGGATATCAAAAGTGGTCGGAACAAGGCTTTCGACTTTTTTTTAAGATCACTTTCAGTGGTCGGAAATTCCATAATTTCAGTAGATACGTGTTCGAAACTAAGGGAAAAACAATGTGTTAATAATAATTTGTGATTTGATGGTATCGCTGTAACCTTCTAAATGAAAGATCAAATCAAGAATGTTGATATATCATGTTGTTAAGTAGATACTACAAATAGATTAATTAAATTGAAGTCACAAAAAAACAACTGATAATTCATCTCATGAGTTTGTTTTTTTTTTTAATTAAAGGAGCATTATATAAGAGAATATTTTAAGTTAAAATGTAACTTCATGGAAGAAATTTGATAGACTCCGTCACCCAAGAATTTAAAGTGATATGCGTGTTGAATAGGGGAGGCAAATACGCTTCAATTGGTGCTCCATACTATACGCCATGCATATATGACAGATATGGTTTTCTCATGCTTCTTCGTCAACAAAGTCTGATCTCTGTAACACAATGATATTTTTTTTTGAATGCTGCCAGCTCTATTACATTGTAGTATCTGTTCATATACTTTCTCAACCTACTGAAACACAAAGAGCTAATAACGCCTCCACTGAGGCTCGAACTCACAATCTTCCAAATAGAAGTCCAACTCCGATACCATTAGACCACATAGTCCTGGTAATTGGATATAGTTGGGGACAAGTTAAATTTTGACTGCCGTATCATTTGATTCTCTTGTTAAGAGGTCGCAAAAATCAATCTCTTGTTAGGACTTGAACTCGTGACATGATTCTAATACCATTTGTTAGGACTCACTTCCGTCTATATTTTGATTTCCATTCCGATTTCAGATCGATTCTCATGTACAAACCAAACACACCGGCCCCTAAGTGTATTCTCAAAATTAAATGTTATATGTTGTAAGTTTATTATACCGTGATTCTCATGTTAGAGTTAATACTATCTAGGGTCCTCCGAGTATAGTGGTTTTGCCACATTTAGTCCTAAACTTTCAAATTACCACTCATGGTCCTTCGACTTTCAAATTGTTACCATCCGTAGTCCAAGTTAACCACCCATGGTTCTTCAACTTTCATAATTTAACCAGCCGCAGTCCTCTTGGAATGACCATGGGTGGTTAAAATTTTATAGTTGAAGGACCATAGGTGGTTAACTTGGCCACGAATGGTAACAATTTGAAAGTTGAAGGACCATGGGTGGTAATTTGAAAGTTTAGGACTAAATGTGGCAAAACCACTATACTCGGAGGACTCTAAATGGTATTAACTCTCTCATGTTAATATATGAAGAATATATATTATGTTTAGAAGACAATTAAGTACTTATTGTGTAACAACCAAAGACCTTGTGGTTAAGCAGTATGGAGTGACTCTTTCAAATAAGAGGTTATAGGTTCGAGCCTTTATAAAGTACATATATTAACAGAGCCATAAAATTTGTAGTTTAAACTTTCTTTAACTAAAGACTTTATATGCTCGAGCAACGGATGCTATGAGAGCTCTATTGATCATAATGGAAAACAGGAAGATGTGAAAATTATAATACTTCAAACATTATTATATTAGATAAAGTTTTTTATAAGTTTTTTATCATCTTATATGAGTAATCTGAGACTCAAAGAAAACTTGTCCTTGTGAAATACGGGAAAATTGAACAAATTGATAGGCATATACGAAATTTAGATTATTCTTCTTCCCTCATTTTCTTCACTGTTTCACCTGAGTACCTCCTACTTACTCCAGTCTATATTTTTGCCATATAAAATGTTTTGGGCCTGTGGAATATTTAGATTTCTTTTTTTAAGGCCCAAGCCTTCTGACCTCATTCGTTATTATATGAACCATGATACCTAATATTGAGTCATTATATATGTACCATAGCCCAAATTATAATGTCGATCACTGATATTGACATACAAATTTATTTTTAGTTGGTCAGATAGTTGATTTGGTATCACAAAATTATAAATTTAACTCTTAAGATTTTAAATTCGACTCCACATTATAGCATTTAAATCTAAAGGTTTCAAATTTGACTTTACGTGGTAGTTATTTATTGACCTTCTTAATTTGAGTTAACCAGCTATGGACAACCAAAGTTAATTTCATAATGCACATTCGAGTCCAAAGTTAATTTCATAATGCACATTCAAGTCCAAAGTTAATTTCATAATGCACATTCGAAACCAAAGTTAATTTCATAATGCACATTCGAGTCCAAAGTTAATTTCATAATGCACATTCGAGTAGCAGTTACATACTTTTTCATAAATCAAAGACTATTTTTAGAGGTTGATTAAGAGTTATTAAATTAACATATCAAACAATTGAAAAATTATATTGGTGAAAATTTCAAATTTAGTCTCAAACTATCATTTACTCAAAAAATCAATTAGATCCTTAAACTTTTACAGGTCACCAACCGGTTTCTAAGCGTCGCTACTTCAAAATAACATATTTATGAATTTAATTCTAACTTTTAAAAGTTTAAAGATCTAATTAACTTTTTGAGCAAAGTTTTGGCCTATTTCACCCTTTTCCTTTATTTATATTTAAAAAAGAAATGGTGCAAAATACTTGATGAGGGCAGTATTTCCCTTCAAAGATAACCAACCATAATACGCGATAATTCAAATATTAAATGCATTAAATTCCTTAGTGAAAATAGTAAAAAAAATAAATAAAATAAAATAAAACAAAAGTTTCCACTATAATAATGATATATATTTTAAATGACAATAACACCCTCTGGCCTCAATCAAATTTACGTACAACACCCCCAATCATTCCCCAGCTCAAAAGCCAGAAAACCCGGTTCTTTCCCAATCACACTTTCAGAATCTTGGCGGCTCGGACCACCGGATTTTCCCTCGCGATCGCCTCCCGGCCGGCCGCCTTGTAATCAAACGAACAGTCGTGGCGATCGGAGTATCTGTGCTGGGAGCAGAACACCTCCCCGCACCGGCACCGGAACCCCACTAGCCCGACTTTCCGCCGGCATCCCGCTCCCGAGCACCGGCAAACGTCCCTCGGCCTCTTCAAGGACCGAATCTCCGACGCCTCGAAAGCGGTTTTTGTCTCCGATCTTTGCGGCGACCCCGCCGGGCTAGATCTCAGGTCGCCAGCGCCGGAGAGTTTCGGATCTGAGCTCTCAGGTGATACGGCGGAAGAAGAAGATAGCACGCAGAGAGGTATGGTTTCCGGCACCTTGAGCTCGGCCTCGTCTTTCTCCCTCTGAGCCGCCATAGCTGCGAAGTTGCGTATGGAGATGAGATTTGTTGGGAGAGATAGCGGAGCGGAGAGCAGAAAACGAACGTGAAATGGGTTTGGATTATGACTTTTGAGGCTGTTAGCCACCGGTGGGGAAGCCTAACTTTACTTTGTACGGAGTAATAATAATGTTATAAAAATCACCAAAATAGCTTATTGCTAAAGAGTTTGAGTCTCCTTTAAATATTAAATCGAAACTTCATCATTAATTTAAATTTGATCCTATGATTAAAAAAATTGTTTAAATATTAAATTAACGTTGTAAAACTAATTTAGATTCAACTTATGCATCAAACGGAAAACTTGATCCCACAGCGTTATTTATGTATAAAATTGATATTATATGACTAATTCAGATTTTGACTTGTACATCTACAAAGAAGTTCGATACAATTTTTTTTTTTTTAATATGAAAACACAACCATAGCTTACTAACTTTGCTCTCAAATATCAACTCTCGCAGATAGGCATGACCACGGTTCGGTTCAAATCGAACTAGTTACTGTTTCAACCAAACCAGAACCGAAACTATACGTACGATTTCAATTCCAGTTGATTATGTTAACAAATTAGAACCGTGTGTGTGTGTGTGTGTGTGTGTGTGTATATATATATATATATATATATATATATATATATATATATATATATACATACATTTAAAAAAAAGTCTGGTTAGAAGCGTCAGTTTTAACCGGAAGCGTCAGTTTTAGAACCGGAATCAAACCGTGGGCACCTCTACTCACAAGTCAAAACATGTAAATATATTTAAGGAAAAATAACATCTGTTTTTAAACTATAAAGAAATAACACTATTCGTCCACCAATAATCACCATACAAACAAAAAAGTGACTAGTATAATTGAAAAACAAAAAAAATGTCATTTCCCCTATATTTAAACAAATCATAATTTACTAGTTTATAACCCACACTAAAAGTGACCCAAAAAAAAAGAAGAAGAAGAAGAAGTTGGACTTGATATCTAATGCAATGGAGCAGCTGAAATGGCTTAGAAGACCATGAAGAAGAATATTGTCTGAGGAATTTGTTTTTGTTTTTTGATAATTTTTAGATTTGGATGTACGATGAAGACAGGAAACAGGAGATATAGAATGGCAGTGAACCAGAATAATGCACCATAATAACCATAATAATCACAATGATATCCACCAAACCAGTAATATGAACTTGGAAACTAAAGTCAATAAACATAGTCTTGCCAATAAGCATGAATAAATGCATTGATCCAACCTGCACTCCATCCCGGGATCCATTGATACACGACAGAGTTTCAGCACGAGGCTTCGTCGTTAGATCTTATCCAGCTTCTCGGCCCTAATAACGGGGTTGGCCTTGGCAATGGCATCGCGTCCAGCAGTGCGATAATCGAAGAGGCAGTCGTGTTTATCCGAGTAGCGATGTGAACCGCAGTAGAGCTTGCCACAGCGGCATTTGAATCCAGTTAGGCCGACGCGTTTCTGGCAAGTGGCACAGCGGCTCGGACCCTCCTTAGCCGCCTTGAGCTCGGGAGACTCGCTCGAGCTCGAGCTCGAAGTTAGGGACGAGGGCACGGAAAGAGCCGTGGCTTCAACAGAACCGTTCTGCACGTCTGCGGGGCCCACGACAGCGGGTCCCGTCTCGCTGCCGCTCGACCCGTTAACGAGATTCTCGATCGACGATGCCGCGAGCTTGGCTTGTTCTTGTTTCAACACCATGTCCTTGTAGCACTTGGAGCACATGTTCATGTTCGCTGCACTTCCAAAGAAACCACAGTTGTTGATGCACAAAATCGGGCCTTCGGGAGGGGGATGGCATCCTGTCTCGTTGTGCTCCATATCCTCGCTTCTGCTTCGAATTCATTAAGAAAAACACATTAATATAAACCCAGAAAATGCGGGTTATGCACCTATACCTTCCTCTCCGGGGAGAGAGAACTCAAAACATCAAAATATAAAAACAAGAAAGAAAAGAATATCCTTTACTTGTATGATCTATAAGGTACATGAATACCCTAGACTTTGTTTGTTTCGAACAAAACAATACACGTTAGGAAGCATAAATTCGATAGGGGCATAAACTTAACTAAAACTCAATCCCAAGCTATTATGGCTCTGCTCGGAAGGAGTTAAGAGGAAACAAAGCTTTCAGTTTTAACGAAGTAAAGACTATTCTGGGCAACCAAAACAATGTTCTGCACCCAATAATCTCGGGAAAATCAAACATTAGAATCTAAGTTTAAAGGGTAGTCATAAACTCAAGGATGATAGATATCTCTACCACAACACCTCAAAAAGCCATAGCCACAAAGCTTCCATTCCCAAGTAGCGTAATTGTAACTTAATTATCATAAACAATAATGCATTATGCATAATCTTATTCAAATCATACAAGAAAAGTATTGGGTAAGGTCTTCTACATAACTACATAAGCCATGCTTAAATCAAATATGAAGCAAATTGTCCGCAAAGGCAGCTCAGTTGGTTCTTGATGTTAGATTGTGGGCAAGATAGGAAGCAAATTTACACTTCCCCATGACCCAAATCACACTCAGAACAGATTATCAAAACCTTCAACATTTATTCATTCAATAGTCCCACAAAAAGAAAAAAGGCAAATTTTTTGTGAGAATGAATGTTTAAAGAAGCAAAATTAACAGCTTTAACAGCTCCAGATCTTTATAAACAGTCCCATGAAATCAAATTATTCACAAAACCATCACACAATTCTCCACCCTAAGAATAATCCAAGAAATCCAATTAAACCTAAAAGATTCAAACATTCAAATTCAAGACCAAAAACAATAATTAACACCATAACCAGGCAAAAACTCAACCGATGATCTCCGAATTCCGAAACATGAGCTGAACACTACCCAGACAACCAAGAACCCGAATAACGCATAGAAAATCCAAAGAACAAGAACAACAAAACCAGGAGAAACAAACAAGAAATCGATCAAGGCAGAAACCTATGCATATATACGATTAGAAAATTGAATTTCTGGGAACCATACAGTACTAAACCGAGATGGGTTTTGGAAACTGACCTCGAAGGGATTGAGAGATCGAAGAAACGAGAGTTTTTGTCAGAATTTCAAAGCTGAATCGTGGAGAAGGAGAGAGAAAGAGAGCTTTTTTTTTTCCTTGGTGTCCCTGCCAACAAACGATCTTTACTGATTAGGTGGGTCTTGTGGGACTCCCCTATTGGTCCTGGACTTGTTTAATAAGAAGTGGGCACATTGCGTTCTTGAAAACATATGGTGGAAAACCAGACTTGCGTACCAAGATTCAATGTATTTGTCAATGAAAGTTTTGGAAAGTACAAAATATAGAATATGAACCTTAGACTCTATTTTTGTAAGGGGGTTTAGTTTACCAAAAGCCCAACAACAATTTTTAGAAAATTAATAATAAATTAAGGACAAACCTCTAGTTTTTACTGGTGAGAATATGAGTTCTGGATGATTGATGGATCAATACGAAGATAAGGTGGGTAAGAGAGTCACTTATGCGTTACAGTTATTATTTGGGCAAGATGATGTTTGTACAAGGAATCATACATTATGGGTATCTATAAGTACAAGCGGAGGCTAAAAAGATGGGGAGAGCTCTTTTGTTTTTTTGTTTATTGGGATGAAAGAAACCTGCAATTATTACCACAAGATAAACACTAGGTAAATCTTATTTCTGTATAATAGCCCACGAACAACATATGAGAAATAAATAACACTAAAAAACCTTATGCAACGCAATTGACCAAGATGATATTGGTAAAATCACTATGACTCACTATGATGATAATTTTTTTTTCTCACTTGACCAACCTTCTATTACAATTCTTATTATTGAATGGTTAAAATTAGATCCAAAATCCATTTAATTTCACTTTAAGAAATAAACTTTTTTCCACTTTTTTTTTTTAATATGGTCATCTACTCTTCTTAAACTTTTGTTTTTTTGGAACAAAGAAATCTCCAAAAGAAGTAGTCAAATAATTATGGCCTTTTCTGCCGACTAGTATATATGTTGTCCAATAACATTTGGTCTAAGCATCTATGTATAGAATATTGATACAAAAACATGTCAGTGTCAATATGCAACATAAGTAAAATCTATATAACTATGTCTACTATCGAGTACCATGGCCCATATTATAAGACTAGTTTTTTACGCGCATTGTGCGATTAGGATAATGCCTAATGCTTTTTTTTAAATAAGTACTTTAAAGTATATTAATGCAGGATTATATTGAAATTGTTCATGCATAGATAATTGAAGGTTGAATTTGCGTATTTAAATAGGTAATTCTTCTCCAAAAGGTTGAGTCCCCAACCCCAAGGGCTCCCCACACTCCGACCCGACAGAGCATTGTGAGAAGTTGTAAATCACGGTGACTCAATAATTCAGCAGACAGGGCCAAATGCTGATACACACAAGGAATCTGCCCACTTTGGACATAATTCCCGCACTGCCGCCGCCGAGGTTTAAACCTTGGTCTCTTCTCCCAAATACTACCCACTAAACCATTGAGCTAAGCCCGTGCGGGTTAAATAGGTAATTCTAAGTTTACAAATGCAAGATAATATAGTCAAGATTGATTATAATTGTCAATAAAATAATTGTATAGGTATGGTTGAAACTAAATATGGGACATAAGGGAGAACAAATAAAAATTAGGGCATAAAATATTAAATATATACTAATATTGTTTGAGGAGATTCCGACATTAGGATTTGTGGTTAAGTTCTATTAAGACTTTAATATTAGAATTAGATTAATGGTGTAGTTATAATTCTATATTAGACTTTAATATTAGAATTAGACTAACGGTGAATTAACGGAAAAGTTAAATGGATAATCATATAATTAAGGATAAATTAGAAAATCTTAAAAGAAAAAAAGTAAAACCTAAACAATATGAACCATTCATTGATTTAATAATTTGGCGGTCATTTTTTCTACCCAATGTTAATAATTAAATAAATTCGCTAGTCAAATCCGTTAGTATAATCCGCTAACGCTAACCGCTAACTACTGATTGTCAAACATGGACATTGCGAGGTAATTCTCACTTCAATTTGTTGTGTGATTTGAATACTCTCTTTGTCACAAAATCTCTCAAGTAGTTAATATGGTTGGCTTTAT